TACCCCCTTCCCTCCTCCCCCGCCGGCCCCACCCTTTCCAGAAGCTGCGCGGGGGGGATTGGGGGGCAGGGGTAACACAAACCCCCTGGGGTGGAGGGGGACCGGGGGAATTATTCCCCTGTTTCCTGCTTTTACTAACGAACCTGCCATTTTTGTGTCTGAACTTTGATTTGTCTGGGGGAACAGTCGGGTTTTACTAATCTGAGTCATCTCCCACCCCACCTTCCCCAGAGACCGTCCTCCATTCCCTCAGCCCTCTGCTTCCTTTTCACCCTGTCCACCCTACTGGCTCCCCTTTCTTCCTCTACTTCCCTGTCCATGGCTGATTCTCTTTCTCAGTGCACCTCCTTCTGTTCCCCTGCCTCCTGCCACTCCCTGCACCCCATTCCGGTCCACATCAGGGTGATTAGAGCAGTGTTTTTCCTGAGAGGGGGCACCCCGTGGGAGCAATTTGCATGAGTCCATGGGGATGTGAAGTGAGACCATGACTAGCTTGGAGAATAGTTGAGGAGGGTGTCCCCCCCACTCCTCCCCGTGTCAGACCCTCCTAACTCTGAGTGGGGAAAGGGGCAGTGACCTTGGAGTGGGCTGAGGAGAGCCCATGGGGTGAGGGAGACAGTGGATGCCACCCTGGTTTCTTTGGCCAGGAGGGAGGATACAACTGAGGGGCTCAGGTGGGCTGGAGATCAGAAGAGGAGACTCTTCCTGGGGAGCTTTGGGGCCAAGAGAGCCTTTTCCTTGCAGAGAGCTCTCTCCTCAGGTGGTAGGTTACCCCTTGGGGCCACCTCCAGCCATTCTCCCCGCTCCCAGGGGCTGGGAAGTGGCTCCTGCTGCTTCTGTGCCCTTCTCCCTTCTCTGGGGTATACAGATCAGCACACTCTCAGGGGACTTGAGGCTCTGTCACCAAAGTCACAGGCTCTGAGACATCAGACGTATAGATGGGGACTTAGGCACTGTGGCCCGGGTCACAGGTTGACTCGATGTTGGCCTTTAATGACCACGTGTTACGTCTGCTGGTCTGTGCTAGGATTACTGTGGTGGCAGGGACATGTCAGGCTGGGTGCTGACCTACAGGTCACCTGACCGTCCAGCTGCAGTGTCCAGTCTTAGGCTCAGGGACAGAGTAACAGCCCAGTTCTTGGTCTCAGTACAGCATCAGGAGGAGCAGAGGTGAAGGGCAGGTTAGAGCGGGCTCTGCCCCAGGAGGCCCATCACCTTGTCACCCCTTCCTGTCTCATCCCCATCCTTCTTCTCCAGTCTCCTCTTCCCTTTCTCCACTCTCTCTCTGCCCGGTCTAATCTCATGTGCATGTTTTTGTGACTAATACCTGGACCCCTCCCTTTTCTACCCAGTCCCCTACCCATAACTTCCCAGACTCGGGGTGGGGTGGAGGGAAGAAGAAATAAACAATGATAAGCCCACCCCCTCATAACAAGACTCAAAAGTTCTCAAACTGCCCCCTTCCACAAAGGTACCCTTTGACCTCTACCCTGGTATCAGGTTCCCCCGGCACAAGGTTTGATGGTTCCCAGGAGGTGACCCCTGCAGCCCTCACTCCGCTCAGCCCCATCCTGCTCACTACCAGGCTCCAGCCAAGTTCGGGAGGGACCCAAGGGAAGGTGGGGGTCTTCATTTGCCCTGGTTCTGCCCATGTCCCTTAAAATGTTCTACCTTCCTCCCTTGTCTTCCCCAGGACAATGGAGTCCTGGAGACCAGTTGCTGGAAGATGGGTGGTGGCATGTGCGTAGGGGCTAGTGCGGGTGGGAACCTCAGAGGATTGACTGGAATGCCCTAGTCTCCAGACTTTGCCCAGAAAAGGGGGTTACTGAAGCACCTTTAGAGACCTGGCAGTGGAGTGCGCTGTGGCCTGGGAAGCTCTGTATCGGGCTAACCGTGGCCTGCCTCCTGTCACCCCTGCAAGGTCCACCCTCTTTCCAAACTGGCCCTCCTGAACCACGGCCTTCCTCGAGTAAGGGCTCACGGTCCCACAGCCCTGGGCTCTTTCCACAGCCTTGCTGAGTACCTTTACCCTTCGTGGGCTGCTCCTATGGTGAGGCTTTTCAGAAGCCAGGCGGGCATTTACTGGGGGTCTAGGGAGTCCGAGATTTTCTGGTACTCGTTGCTCCACCTAAGTCACTTCTGCCTCCCCCGGCCACTGCTGAGCCCCTCTGCCTCTCCAGAACACCAGCATGCCCCAGCACTATCCACTTTGCTTTCTCATGGAATTTTTCTCAGGAAATTCGCAGCCGTGGGCCGGCATGCCTCTCTGCTCCCTCGTCTGGCCCTGTCTCCATGGAGCAACAATGACGGTGTTGGCAGAGACAATTAGAAATAAAGAAAAGAAGAGCGGGTTGATGAATAGAAAAGGATTGCCCTCTTCTTTGGAGACAAGAGAGTGACCCAAATACAGGGGATATGAGGAGTAAAGAGAGACTCCAGAAGGGGACCAGAAGTGAGGACCCTCAAAACTTGGGTGGCATTAGCCTGTAAGAAAGGGCATTATGCAACCCCAGGAAGTTCCAAGACTCCCCAGGAACTCCTGAGTTCCCGGTCCTCATGCTGCTCTCATCATCTCCTTCCTGGGCTGAGACCGAAACACCTCCTCGGCGCCCTGAGGGGAGGGCTGCAGGTGAGTCTCTCTAAGGCTAAGGTCCAGGGAGCACCTGTGTTCTCCGCATTGTTTGGAAAGAAACGCTGAAATCACAGCTGTGTTCAGAGTACTTGCAGAGGAGAAAATGAGGGTGCCACTTGCATGCCCCCCGCACCCGTAGTGGAGCCCTGTCCTGCAGTGCCCGTTTCCACTGAGTCCCTCCTGCTACTCTTCATGGTGAGCTCTCCGAGGACCTCTCAGGTGCCCGCCTGCTGAA